GCTGGGAAGAACGGCCCGCGCCCCCCCCCCCGGCCCCCTCCTGACAGTCAGGCCACCCATCAGTGAACACCTCTGCAGAAGCTGAACAGTGAAACGAGTTGCTGGTAAACGGCACCAAATTGCGTTCTGCATCAGTGGGGTTTGATGTCACAGGGCTAGCATAGCGGTACTGATAATAGGATTTCATGCTCTGCACAAACAGTGCCCCACGGCACCAAATGGGCTTTCACTTTCCCCAGGGAATCACTGGGCTAAGCAGAGCCAGCAAGGAGAACGTTTTGAAAACATATTAAAATCTAATGAATAAAAAGCTCCACTTTAAAAGAAAAGGGGAAATACTTCTGAGATTTAACGTTTGGTTAATGCCCACAGTGAGGTAGTTGTCCTTTTACAAAGTGTTCTGTGATTAAAAAAAAGTGTGGAGGCCTTTGTTGACTTCACAGGAAGATGGGAACCAAGGCAGTGCATCGTAAACAATAATTAATTTCACAACCGTTGCTCAGATTGCAGTTTTCTTGGTTCAACTTTGTCTTTTCTTGCCTTCATTCCTCCAATCATTTCCCTAACACTTTCTGTTCATTTTATTTTATTGCATGATACTGACACATTCATCGTCCTGAGTGAAAAAAAGACCAGTGCTTTTTTTCGTAGCCTGTTGTGTTGTCTCTGACTCATCTCCCCTGCCCTGTGTCCTGTGTCTTCTCTCTCATCAGTGGAATATTGAGGAGTCCACGGAGCATGTAAGTAACCCTCATGTGTGCTGCTGGGTTGCAGGCGTTCTCCCCTCTGACAGTTCGAGGGTTTTGTTTGTGCTTGTGTGTTTGCAGTTGGAGCGGTGTGTGTGTTTAAATTTTTTGTGTGCGAACCGCGTCTGTAATCCGCTCGGTATGTGTACGAGTTCTCGTGACAGCTCTTAACCCCGCTATAACCACTGCACAGACGTGTGAGCTCGTGGTTTCTGGTTTGTTTAATAATGTGTGCAGTTTTTTTCTTTTAAATGCTATCACCCCCGAGCATGGAGTTGATTGTGTTTGAGTCTAATATTTAAGCACTTCTTGTTGCACCGAACAATCGTGTGTTAATTAGGGCTGTCAAACGATGAAAACTAACTGGAGTGATCATGATTAATTGTGAATATTTTTTATCGTGATTAATTGTGATTAATTGAGAAAAATCTATTTAGTATTCTGCTGGACCAGGACAGTAAAAAAACAGCAGGTAGTTGTACGTGTTTCACACCTGTTTTTATTCGTGACTCATCCAAAAAATTAAATTATTATTATTGAAATAAAAATACAAATATTTCGAGGTATTACTTGAAAAGTGAGTTGCTCTCAAAACTACAGTGAACCCTTTGACCTTGACTTCGTTAATCAGTCTACAGTCTCTCACAAGACATTTGTCATTTGTGACAGTTAGCTCCTCCGCCTGTAGACTAACGTGGGTGAGGCTGGTATGACATTATCAACGGTACCTGAAGTCAAAGTCTCCATGATATTTCAAGCTCCAGGTGCTTGAGTGAAAGAAGTGTAAATAACAATGTGTATTCACTCTGTAAAGCAACCATGGAGGATGGACGATGGAATTGTTGGTTATACAATCCCTTCGTATGGGTTGAAATGCAAAATTAACATGTAAATTTTGACATGCTTATTAATAACAATACCAGCAGGACATGTGAAAGATGTGAAACCAGCTGCAGAAGATGACATGCTCCCTCCCATCCTTGAGCCGACTGTGGCGTTGAGAGCTGCATGTCACTATCTGACAGTGGTGCTGACATTAATCAGGCTTACCTAACCTGCTGCCCCCCCACCCCCTGATCCAGAGGACATGTCTATCTGAGGGGTGGGGCTGAGTGTTTGCTGTTTGCGGCTGTGTGCGGCTCCTCCACACAGCCTCCAGATTGCCACCAGCCTTTCATGTTCATTTCATTTTGGCGGATGGCAGCTCACCGTTCCGCGGCTGTCACACGGCTCTTTGTTATAGCTTATTACTTCCTAGACGTCAGCCTGCACCAGCATAAATGCAGTCACTTACTGTTCCTAGTCAGAAATTCAATTGAAACCTGTCAGAATAACAAACATGCGTCCAGGACTCGAAAGGGCGAAGGGATTGTTTACATCCAGTAAGAAAAGAAAATGAAACTGGTTAACCCAACCAGTGATCATTTGTAATAAAAATATTATATATTTTTTTTAAATAAAAAAGAACAAACTCATTCATTAGAATTGAGCCAATAGGAGGTGCATAGATTATTAAATCAACTCAACTAAAAATTAAACCTTAATTTTCCCTATTGACTTGGCCAGATTACACCCACACCAACATTCTGTGAGTCAGGCTTGTCTTCTTTCTCTCCTCCATCTCCATCTCCTTCTCCTCCGGTGTAGATTATCACCTGACAGACAAGAGTTGTCAGAGGAAAACATCTATTTACACTGATTTATTATTTATTCATTGTTTGGGAAATTGCAGGCTGCCTCCAGGGCATTTTAGGCTCTAAAAATTGTGACAGCGTCATTTTAGTGCTACTGTCATTAACAAAACTGTTTCACCTTAAAGGGGAAATATTATGCAAAGCAGACATTGTCAGGGGTTTGGTTCACATATTTGAATCTCTGGAGAGTCTGTCAACTTTTTAAGTGCCAGTTTTGACAATTAAGTTCTTTTATCATCTGCTCAAATCTGGTAATGTATCGCAAAATGAGCTGCTCTGTTTACTTCTTTGAGAGAAGTAAACAGAGCAGCCAACCCACTCCACAGTGTGACTCCTACCTGCACAAGGAGACGCCATTTGTTTTATTTATACGCAACTGCCGGACCGCGTTCCCTGAGCACAGTCGCTGATTTAGAACAGCGCTAAACAAAGACGAGCTTTATGATGTGAACAGCCAGTGAGGCAGTACATCATTGGTTACTCTCTATATTAACATCAAACTCAAACTTAACTACAAACTAATTCCACAAAATCAACCAGGTTCATTTTTACATCTTCTTGTTTTATGACAGAACGGTGTGAGATACTTAACTGTGTTAAAAACAAAACAAAACAAAAAAACCTGATCACATTCACCTTTCAGAATCTGACAATTTACCAGCAGCAATTTGTCTCTCGCTGTTTAACTGTTTCCGTAGTCGCAAGAAACTTCCTCCAATGGAAGAAGTGGGCGGAGCAATCGCTGGTTCATTACCATTGAAAGGTTAAACAGTGATGTAAAGGTCCAGCTGTGCAACATTCCATGTACACATAACAATAACAGTTCCATCATATAGTCAAACAATATAGATCAGATTAAATATAAAAAAAATATAGGGTAAAACAATGTGGCAGTTTCTCCCATCGTCGTTGGCCTGTGGTGTAGGAAGTCATTCATATCCAAAACTAGGCGAGGCAGTAATCCCTGTAATGCCCCTTGGTGCTGCTCTAAGCACTTGCTCTAAAAGAAACTTTGAAGCCTTGCTTTTTTTACTTTGAGCTGAGCTCAGAAAGTACCAGCAGACGTTGATTTGACCCAGGCAAAATAGTTTAAGACGATCCCTGTGATTATCGTTGCTTAGACACTTAAACCCATTTGGTATGATTAAAGAAGAGGCTTTCACCATATTGCTAAATCTGCTTAACTTTTAACTCATTTAGCAACTTCCTTGGTAAAGGTTATTAGGAGAACGCTGAATGTCTGTCAATAAATATTAAAAAAGATTGATGTATTTTGGAGTTTTGGAGAGAGTAAGAAAGGCATCGGGTCAGAAACAGGCAGCTGAAGGCGTGTGTTTGTTCTTTATGTGTGCTCACCACTGCGCGCATTGTTTTTGTGTGTACACATTAATATCTGTCTGTACATGCATGCACACAAATACTGTATATATATTTGGTAAGTATGTGTGTTACATGTGTGTTTATTTTTTTATTTTTGGATTGCTAAACCCAGTGATTAATTTCTCTGTGTGTGTGGGTGTGTTTTATCCTCACTGATGTGGTCTGGTGAAGTGAGTGCCAGCGCTGCAGCAGGCTAACAATAACAGTGTGTTTTCTCCGTTTGTTGACTGTTGAGTTCCTCATTTGTTCAAACACCTCAGTGTGTCTGTGGTGAACATTGATTGGAATCAAATCCAAAAGACAATTTATTACAAATTTGTTTGTCATCTGCTGTTTGATTAATTTACTCACTTTTATGCAGTATTTCTTAAAATCTCTCAGTAAATATTTATTCTCATGCAGTGAACATAAACAGCGACAAACTGGTGAAGTTCTGGTTCTCTGATGGTTGAACAGGGTTCAGTGTGTGCCTGGTTTTTACGTGGAGGTCCACGGGGGTTTTCTTGTCAAAGAAAAGTTCCTGGACCTCTTTATGTGACCAGTGTTGCTGTTTGAATGCCTAACATGTTTTTTCTCCCCGGTTGTAGGTAAATTGAACAACAAAAGTACCAGTGAATGGAGAGTGGGGTTTTAATCTTACAATGGTTTCATTTGGTGCTGTGTGTTTTTGCAGGGGTTTTTGCTCGGTGCTTGTGTGAGATGGGGTTTGACTCTGTTTGTTTTTGTGACTTTAATTGTAGGGAGAGACTACCTTTAACATGGTTGCTTGTTGATTTCCCCATTTTGCAGGAGGCCATCATTGGAGGACTGCAGTCTGAAACCACTTACTCTGTCACTGTAGCAGCCTACACCACCAAGGGCGATGGAGCTCGGAGCAAAGCCAAAATCATCACCACAACAGGAGCAGGTGAGAGTCCTCTCTACCAGAGATATTAAGGAAAGGACAGATGTTCAGACATATCTGGCTGACAGTGGACCCAGGCTGTGAACTAGAATTAAATTGATCATAGATTTTATTTTGAAATTCCTCTCCCCTAAATGTACTAAATACCCAGAAGTGCAAAGATTCATACACTTTAAACTTGAGAGAAAGTGGCAATTGAACCTTCAAACACAGACAGTGAGTACGCAGAGAGAGAGATTACATTTCTACCAGAAAACATCAGTGACAGCTCCTGTGAGCCAAAGCGGAAAAGCAAAGTGAACAGCATAATATACTCTGTGGGCTAAGCTTTACTTCTGCGTAGTGTCTTCCTTATAAGGTTCCTGTATTTAGTGCATCATATTTTAAGGGCTCTTTGTTTACTTTTCAGTGCCGGGTAAGCCCACCATGATGATCAGTACCACCATGGGCAACACAGCGCTGATCCAGTGGCAGCCGCCAAAGGATATGGTGGGAGAGCTGATGGGCTACCAGCTGCAGTACAAGCGCGTTGATGAAGACGCCTACTCGTCACGGGAGCTGAGGAAGACCGACGACCACTTCACTGTCACTGGACTCCACAAAGGTGCCACGTACGTATTTCGCCTCAGCGCTCGCAATCGTGCCGGTGTGGGCGAGGCGTACGTGAAGGAGATTAGCACCCCTGAAGACGTCCCCGCTGGCTTTCCGACCAACCTGCAAGTGACAGGACTGACCCAGTCCAGCACTCAGCTGACCTGGGAGCCCCCGCTGTTGGCAGAGAGGAACGGCAGAATCATCTATTACCTGGTGGTCTACAGGGACATCAATAGCCAGCAGAACAGCACCAATCGCACGGCGGACACTTCCATGACCATCCAGGGTCTTAACCCGGACACAACTTACGACATCCGTGTCCAGGCTTACACCAACAAAGGAGGCGGACCCCTCAGCCCCAGCATCCAGAGCAGGACCATGTCAAATGGTAGGTTCACTGTACAAGAATACGTGACTGTATTTGAATTTAAAATCAGGATCAAACAAGCTTGTCAAAAGGATACATGAACAATACAGTACTGGGCCTGTGTTTCAAATACATAATTATTGAGGTATATAGCACTCAGTACTGCACTACACTGTGATTATTGATTTATATAGTACTAATCTCATTACATGCTGCAGTCACATTACTGTGCCTACTGATCTCTCCTCCTATTTTCACTCTGTTCAGTATGCACCGCCTCATGCATTTTATAATCTTATACATGTAGGAATTTTTTATTTATAGCTAGCATTGCATAAAGCCTATTTTGAGACACATGTTGCCCCCTCCCACTGCCCTGTACTGCCGTTTTCATGGTTAACGCGGTCGTCTTAGGCCTGTTGCGCGCTCTGGTGTAATTAACAGAACAGGCTTAGGGAAATGAAGACTACTAATAATGTGATCTGTAACCAAGTGTGCATAACGTTGTTGATGTTTTTTCACTCCAACTTCATTGGTTTGTCACATTTAATCACTCTGGAAATGTATGCACGCATTTTTTACTAGTGCTATAAGTCTAGTTGCTTTTGACTCAGGATCTAGAGAAGAGAACTTGTTAACCTTGGTGGGCACAATAATAGTTCTATTTACACCGGGGGCGCTGCAATGAAGGTTTGGGATTAGTACAGTAGTGAAATTTTATTTCTTCCGTGACTTTGTGGTGTCAATATCTATTTTTGAAGATACTGATGAAGACATTTTCTCATTTTAGATTTTCCAACCCTGAACTTCGGTGTCAAAGCGATCATGAAAACCTCTGTCCTTCTGACCTGGGATTTACCGCCAAACTATAAATCTCAAGTGCCTTTTAAGGTAAGTCTAAAACCATGCAGTCAAAATGTCTCAACACCCCATTCTATTTGTTATGTTCAAATTAAAAAAAATGTAAAAACAACAAACACTTGCCACCTCACTGCAGTCAGTTCTCAGGTTTATTTTTTCATCTTGACACATAGGAACATTTGTAAAGAAATCAATAGAATCCCTAATGGAGAGTGAAAGCTCCTGGGTTGCAAACTGCACAGAGAGTGGGCCACGGTCCCTGCTACATCTGACTGTAGAGGTCATTTTCAATGCGACCCCTTTGGCAAATGCAGTGTAAGGCAGAATATTTAAGTGCCTTAAGCAGAGCCTCTCCCAATGCTTTACAGTTACTAAATGCAGAGAGGAAATGGTGAGCTAAGTGAAGCAGTTGACTGCTTGTTATGTGCTCGTGTGCCCTTCTGCTTGACTTTACTTAATGCACTTATGTGTATGTCTTTAAGTGGTGATTGTTACAGCAATTCCATCTGCCTGGCCATCTGGTAATAAAGAGTCAGGCTGAACTTTCAGATACTTCACAAGGAGCAGTGCTCTCAGCCCTTTACACACTGACCTGCTCGTGGCTTATCGTTATTTACACTGCATATATGAAAGAGAAGCAAATTGATCGACTGTGTTGTAATCTGTCAAGAGGATTTCATGTCAGTACTTGCTCCGTGGTGATGGAGGAAAGACATTTTCTAGAGGAAAAGTAAAACCGGAGTGAATGGATAAGAAGTCTTAAATACGGCTTTCTGCTGAAGAACGGAGGAAAACTCTCTCATCTGTATAAAAATA